ATAAAAAAAAAAAAAAAAAAACCTCGGCAACGAGACATTAACGAAAGCTTTTAATTCATTTTAACATGGTATCTCCGAGTTTCTATAAAGCTGTTTGCGCTCGAATACAGGTACAACACGGTTCGTGGAACGCACGGACTTACACGAATAAACGATTTCACCCACAAACAAACGAACTTGAATCCCTCGGCCCTACCCTTTCGTCGTTTCCTCGTTCATTTGCCTTTCCGTTTACCACCAGCCAGAGATCGATACACGGACAAACGTGATCGTACGATGCAACATTAATCAGATCGAGAGCCAGAATTTCTCCCTTCCACTTCCGATATAAAAATATGTTTCGCAGGGGAGAGGGGGAGAAATGCTCGATTAAGAAATTTCACAAACTGCGCAAATTCTTAAATGCGTGCAACAATAATGGTATTTTTTTAATTACGAAAATCTAATAACGCGGCGGATGTTTGCGCGCGCATGTGTGAACGAAATCCTTTTCGCATCGTTCGTTCTTTCAAGTTCTTAATTCGCTTTGCGGAAAACAAATATTAAATGGAACATTTCGGTTGAAATTCAGAAATTCTAACGATCCAAAATTCAGAGAAATAAAATGTATATCGTTGACGGTGCGTGTATATTATTATTTTTCCATACTCGCTAATGGATTTTTTCGTTTCTGCTTTATACGGTTAAACGATACTTTTGATATTTACGTAGGAAACAGCGATAAGATAAATAAGCATCGTTTACTACAATTTTTTACGTTGCGAGATATCCATCGAATGATAAAACGACGAGGCGTTTTGTTAATCGATAGACGGAAATATATAGACGGAAATTTGTGTTGATTGTGACGAAAGGAAATTCGATTAATAGGAACGATCGCGTAGTATTTGTGAAAAAGAGCGGAAAACTATGAAGCTTGATATATGAAAGCGCGTAAAATGGCAAGCGCGCGTGGATTTCTCTTATTTACGCGTTTCCTTGAGCTATGAAAGGACGAAATACAGAAGTGGAAGTAAAGGGAAGTGGATGATACTGAAATGCAAGCTCTTTCCCCCGTTTTTACACGTTACTCCCCGTTTCCTTTCTACTTACGCTTTTTATCTTTACTCCCCTTTCTCGCGCCACCCTTCCTATCTCGCCTTCATCTCGTTCTCTCGTCTCGACGTGTCACTCGTAACAAGACCCGACAACAATACTCTTCCATTTTCTTTGTTCTGAAATTCTTTGCTCGGTTGAGGCTTTGTGTACTCGTCATCCGTATTAATTAAAAGTTTTTGAAGGCCCCTCGTATCCACCTAGTAGAGCCTTGAAAATACAGACAACAACGACTGAAACGAGTCGCGTCACAATTCGGCCGTCAACTACTTTCGCCCTTGCAACGTGTACCTTCTTCCTTTCTTCCTTCCTTCCTTCCTTCCTTCCTTCCTTCCTTCCTCCTTTCCCTTCTTTCGCGATAATCTCCACATTTTCTTTCGACTTCCATCTTGAAATCGTACTCGTCAACATCCGATTCTCGGCGCAGTTATACGCTTCTATCCAAAGTCGGGAAACATTGAAAGAAACTTGGCAAACTTGTTGTCGAAAATTAAGATACCAAGGAAAATAAATTTACGTACGAACGAGTATAATAAGATCATCGAACAGCGCAAGATTGAACAATGATACTTCAATTCGCAATTATCTATCGACCAAACGTTTTCCTTTCCTTCCTTTTTTAACAATTTTTGAGAAACAATTTTTTTTTTTATATATGTTTCCATTACTTGAATGCGGGTATAAAAAATTCTACCAAGCCTCGTGCTTTCAGCTCGCTTTATTTATGCATTTTGCCATCGTACACTCTTCGCATCGAACACCGCAAAGATCGATGAAAGCCTTTTTTCCAAAACTCCGATCATCCCAGGATCAGAATGTTTCGTATCACAAAAATCGAAGCGTTTGGTTGCTTATATATATATTTACATAATCTTTTTACTCGTACTCGTCAAATTAAAATGTTTTCCTTCTACTTAAATCAGATCGAATTCTCCGTTCAATATTTGATCACAAGCTCTTCGAATACCATGTGTGAACGGTTTCGATACGCCAAAAGGTGGACGCTCGATACAGTTAGCGTCGATGGTAACGAACAACGATAGCGAATAAACTATTCATAGCATAAACAATAAGCAAGCGCGTATACGCGCCAACCGATCATTAACCTATTATATATCTACGTGCAACATGGTGGTGGTGTACCTCGATCCCTAACGAGGAGACAAATTTTATTGCAAACAGCGATTTAAAAGTTATTGCACGTAGTTTTAACAAAGAGACAAATCTTTTTCCTGTAATTAGACGAAATATCGTTACATCGTGATTCGATCGAGTCTAACAAAATTTTTTAAACTTTTTTTTTTTTTTCAAAAATATTAAAACAACTTTAGTTTTCGTTCCCCTCCGTTCCACGTTCCTCGTTCAAATGTATATATATGTATATAAAACTCTTGCTCTCTCTTTCGTTCCTTTATCCATCTGGTTTATTTCTCTTCGTTCGTTCTCGATAGCGGCCCGCATCCTATGTCAGGCTGACATTGTCAGCCGATCCCAGGCGGAAACTCTAATAGAATTGTACCATCGAATGATGGCTTCCGCCAGTTTTGCATTTTTCATCGAACATTGACCATTTGAATTACCGTGAAATTCGTCAGAGACAAAGATAGAATGGAAAAACATGTCCATCAAATTTATCGCTATATTTAAATAGTATAATTATAAAATTTAGCGCACGGTTCGTTGCAAGATCATTATTTTACTTGTGTGCGTAGTATAGGCGCGAGAGCGCGTCTGTAAAAAAGAAAAAAAAATATGTATAAATTTATAAAGTAAAATGCAAAAGGAACTGACAGGATAATACCGAGCATAGAATAAGATAGCTCTCTGCACGAAAGAATGACGAAGAATCTCATTATGGGGTATTAGCATAGTTGTTAAACAAAAATAACAAAGAAGAAGAAGCCTTCGCAATTAAATTCTTACATAAACGATAAAACACGGTCGAATGCTAGCTATTGTTATCGAAAGTGAGTAAGAATTGCAACTCGAAGATTT